GTAATGATATGACTGTCCTAATTATTACGATTAATGTGTGTATAACACACATACATATATATTTTATATTAAATCAGTGAAAACAATGTATACATATATATTCTTTACAATAATTCCCGGTGAAAAAAATTCTCATATTTTCAAGAACTTTTTATACTTTAAATTTAAGAAGATTTATAAAAAATACTTTGAACGTTTTCAGATTGTATCAATTTTCTTCAGAAATTAAAAATGGGAAATCTTAGAATATTTCAAAATTCATATGTATAAAAAATTCTAGTAAAGATATAGACTTTTAATATTTTTTGAGTAGTTAGCCTTGATAGTCTAAAATCATAGATAACTTTGGAAACGTTTTTTGACAAAAATGAAAGTAATGAGAAGTTTGTTTGAAGCTTTTATAATAAAATTCTTTAGGAATAAAATTATATATTCATTTTTTTAAACAAAATAATGATATTGGAACTGTTACACTGATTGCTCTTTTATCAAATCAGCGTTACGAAGATCTCTGTTGGAATTGAAACAAAAACCAAAAATTTTTATTTTCGACATAGTATTTACTAAAGAAACGTATATACATATGAATATTTTGAAATATCGATTTTTAAAAATGGCGAACATTTGAAAAGAAAGTCTTATTTTCAGTCACAAAACTTTTTTTGTGTACAAATTTATAATGGCCTACTTTTTTAATTACTTACTTATGTTTTAAATACTTACAACTGTATGAGAAAACCGATACTAAAATGTGAAAAAATTCATTAAAATAATTAAAAATTGAACGGAAAGAGGTGGTTCTCTGAGAGATCTATTGTGGGTGCATTCCACTTAATGTTTGTAATGCTTGCGAGCATTTCATTTCATCAAGCAACGTAATAGCGTCCCGACGTCAAGTGCATAAAAATATCAGGGTTGCCACAGACCTGGAAAACCTGGAAAAGTCAGGGAATTTGAAAATTCATTTTTTGTGGCAACCCTGAATATGAACGGGCCGTTTGACTGCTTGATGCGTGAACGTTGTTGCGTATACATATTCGTGCCACTGCTAAATTCGCGACGCTAACTAGTTTTTTTCCGAATTTTGACATCGACAACTTTCGATTAAAATTACTTAGAAATTAAAATTGCAATAAAAAATCTAATATTTTTCATGATCATATAATGCCAGCACGATCTTTCGATTGTGACCAGTCCGAATAAATTGGTGCAGTCAATGTCGAGATCTGGAGATTGGGTCCTGAAAAGGGATCATTTTATATTTTCAAACCGTTTCAGTCACTCATATAAACCATTTTGTCTGTTAAAATGCTTTCATAATGAGAGGAGAGAGAGAGAGAGAGAGAGAGAGAGAGAGAGAGAGTCGAGGCAAGATAGGGCAGAAGAAGGCACGAAAGAGGACAAGAAAGAGAGAAAGGATGAAAGGAAGGCTATTAAATTTTATTTTTTATTTTTACATTTTATTAACCTAATATTCAATAAATATAAATTATTATTATTATTATTATTATTATTGTCTCTTTATTTTTAGAAGATTAAAATTCTATATTACGTTTTCAAAAAACAGTTGAAATCCTCAAAAACCTTCTTAAACAAAGAAAAAGTATACGCCAAGTGCATAAAAAAAATATCTAATATTATATTCTTTTTCATAAAAAACGGATAAGAAATAAATGCTATTAGCCAAGTATTTCATCACGCAAAGCACATAAAGTAGACAGAAAGTAACTAAAATGATCAACTGGATTATAGCGAACATCGAATATTGTTTGCAATATTTTTTATGCACTTGACGTATGTATATTTTTTTAAAAGGTTTTTTAGGATCTTTCTTGTCATCAAATATTAAACAAAGATAAGATACACGCGAGCGTTGCTAACGTTTAGTGGAACCAAACGCAGTGTTCTTACTCATAAAAAAATGTGATTTTCTAAAAAAAAAAATTAAATTAAATAGAAATTTTTTGAAAAATTCAGCAATTTATATAGAGAAATTCAGATAAATTACATAAACAATTCTAAAAAGAATTTTCACCGGGAACAGCCTGACATACGAAACAATATTCAATATTCGATTTTACTATGTGCGTTATAACTATAATCTGCCTGAAATAAAGTAGTTGTAATTTATTATATATATATATACAATATATGAACTGCAACTGCAATGAATATTCGAATGTTACAAAAACATTAAAAATAAAATAAGTCATATTGTAATTATATTGTTAAGATGCATTACCTTATCTGCAAATACTGAGATCATTGAATATGCGTTGCATTGGTAATTTATTATAATAAGCGTATGGGATTAGATAAAGATTTAAGAGGAACGAATTAATGTTACGGCTGAGATTGCTATTCATAAGAAAAACGGTAACGAAATTTTCGAAAAGTGATACAAGTCTTTCATAGTAAGAGTAATAAAATTTGTATGCCTTATACAATCGCTTGATAACTATGTTAAATTATATAAGACTACTAGCGTACGCATGACACGTATGACGTGATCTATATATATATATGTATAATGGTAGTTTCTGCGAATGTTCTCATTTATTGTTCCTCATAGTAAGATATATGCAGTTTATCATAAAAATTTTGCAATGTGAACATCTTATCTATGACGTTACAAAACGATTGCTCAAAGATGTAAGATGTCAAAATGTAAAATTGCACAATGTCTTGCATTGTGTTGTGATAAGTGTGTGCTAAATAAATTATGTCACATAAATTTGTTTGGAAATTACAGCTTTCAAAACAATGTTACCGAAGTATTCAAGTAATTTTGCAACATTTTTATATATGTAGCATTAATGGTATATTTTATGTGCTTGTATCGTATATATTTATAATATCTTTCTATACACGAACTTGTATACAAATTTACACAATAAATTGATGAAAATATAACATATCAATTTGTAAAATGCTGTAGTAATACAGTATATTATTGTAATTACTAATCGCGATCCACAATGAATTATGTCCGAGAGTCAGTGAATCTTCGGGAAGTCCGTTTCCCTCCAAATTCTATTATTAATTATTAGTTATATGCGAGGATATTGGAATACTTTTCGTTAGAACACATTTATTTTAGTGTTTACTAAAATCTTGTAAAAAAATTAAAATCTTAGACCGTACATATGAGAACACAATCGATACGAAGAAAGTAAATGCTTATAATAGTCAAAGCTGGATCCTTAAATAATTCAACGTAAATTGTATACATGTGTATATACCACATTTATAATCATTTAAACTGCGAATTGGTTTTCCAGACTTATAAATTATTAATTAAACTATCGCAATTAAACTATCACAATCATAAATTAAATTAAATTGACAAGCAATTTTTAATAATTCAATGCTTAATCAGGTAATGGATAATGGTCCATTTGGCGCTACAAATGCTTCGAAGTTTTTGATTGATCAATCAGAAAAAAGAATTTTACTAATTGACCAATCAAAAAATGCTTCGAAGCATTTGCAGCATCAAGTGGACCGTAGCTTATAAATCCAGAAAACCAATTCGGCACACAATTCAAATGATTATAAATATGATATATATACGCATGCATATATATAGTATACATATATATAATTCACATTGAATTATTTAAGGTTCCTGAGAAATTATCATAACCATATTGAATCATGACATTAGAAGTGAGAAATGACATATTAATTTTTATTAAGTGCCATTTATAAATAAAGAATTTAAATAAAACAGATCCTTCGTTCTTGTAAAATCTTATTGAAGAATTTTTTGATACAATATTGAAATAAATTGAATTTCAAATAACGCAGAATATATATTGTAATTTAGTAGAAGATAGTTGTTGAGTATGTACAGCAATGTATTGCTGCACGAGAATGCGAAATGATAAAAATAATTTGTGAAAAAATATAATCATATAAAATACAATATAATAAATAAAATAAATTAATGAAAATGTATCAAAATGATAAAATTGTATAATAAAAAATAATATTGGTCAGTGTTTGTTCGTTGTCGTGTTCACATTATTTATTATAACTTATTTAATTTATTATAATCGATTTTATCCTTTGATTACGGACATATTATTTATTATTTTTTATTATACAATTTTATCATTTCGACATATTTTCATTAATTTATTTTATTTATTATATTGTATTTTATATTACACTGACTGACTTTAAGTCTCTTTATTGTACACGTCCGTTATATTTGACTGATAATTGTCCATGATTGCTTAACCAGATTCTCCGCACGGTCTTCTAACCGTCATGTGAGCAGCTTTAATTATTCTGGAAGCTTACAAAAAAAAGTTCTATGTTATTATAAGAAGAAGTCACAACTATAATTAAAAAATTGTTTGGAATTTCTGAAGAGGGTTCAATCAAACAACTGAAACATATCAAGATTTTGAATTTAAATGAAAAAAGGTTTGAATATCAAACTCATGTCAATTATTATTTAGATATATAAAATAATTTTACAACAACAATAATTTTGCAACAAGTTCTGTGATTGACTCTTTAATACCCTGTAAACTTATTTCACTGTAATTAAAATTCTAAAATTTTCCTGAGTACCGATAAAAATTCATGGAAATGTTTAATTTTTAATAATAATTAAAGAAAACATTTCCTAAGAATTCCAGGTTTTTCCAAATAATAAACAAATAACAACACTGTAGTTGGATAATCCATTTATATTACATGTATATTATAAATTTCCAAAACACAATAATATTAATATTTATAAAACTAAAATTATTTTCCCGTTTTCTTCAAGTTTGAAAATTGAAATTTAACGGTATAAATCATTTTCGTATAAAAGATACAACTTTCAAACGTGTATGTAAGAGTAGGCAATGCTAGTTTAAAACTAGTAATGTTTAAAATATTATTTACTTATCTAAAAACTATAATGGTTTTCCCCTTAATATAACTCATATTTTTACAGCCATTTACAGTTTTTCATTCATACACACACACACACACACATAATTTATATATATATATATATATATATATATATGTGTGTGTGTGTGTAACTTCTTTAACTTATAGCGTTTTCTCTTGGCTGTATTATCGCCCATCAGTGCAACACTCAGATAGTGTACCGTGTTTCTATGGCTGGTGATAAGCTCATTCGGAGTACCGTGTTTTCATCACTACGGTATAGTGCAAATTTTATGCACGAAGTCGGATTTTGCATTTCAAAGAGATAGTGTAGAGTCAGTGACATTTAAAATTTGAAAATGGAAGCCAACCGGGAGCAGGATTTTAGTACAATAATGAAGTAGTGTACATCATGGTATGCATCCAGTGTAATAGTATCCAGTATAATATCCCAAGAGAAAACGCTATTAATAAGTACAAAATTTACAGATGCTACTATTGAAGCACCTGACCAGGAATGTTAATTATCGTTATATCATTTGATAATCGTTGTGATCTTTCTGGCGCTGTATACGGACGGATTAGTTTTGTACTTGCATAACTTTCATTATGATCGATACTTAAATTCAACGGATCTAATATTGTAGCCATACTTATAGTTTGTGTACTTTTCTCTCCAGCAAGAATTTCTACATTGGGTGTAAGATTTCGTGAAAGACTTTTGTATTCAGTAGTTGATTGTTCAACTGGAAGAGGGGCAGTCTTATTTCTTCGTGCAAAAACTTTTATAATGCTTCTTCCTTCATTGGTACCTACAAATATTTCATATTAATTTGGAATGTTAAATATTTTATTCCAATATATGTGTGTAAGACTCTTAAGAATAAAAATTCAAAATTAACGGAATGAAGACTAGAGAGCCAAGCTGGATGTTTATATTAACATAAATAATTTAATATCTCATATATAAACATACATTTTATTCTTTATATAACAACAGGTTATCCTTAATGTAATGTTATAATAAAGAACTTAAATATTATTAAACCATAAATTAACCAACACGAACACATTTTAAAATTTAGTCAAAAGATAGAAAAAATATAAAAACTTCATTTATAACTTTATTAATACGCACGCAATTCACATTTTTCAAAAAATGAAATGACCTCGATGACACAACTAAAATGACTGCCAAATTGCTTATTGTTCAATAACACGGGCTCTCACTGCTTCTTTAAATTTTGATATATGTATAAAATAATGGTGTGTCCAGATTTTGCATTATGGATTGCCTCAAATAAATTATTAGCCTTTAAAGCAACAATGGATGGACCAAGGTCTCTTTCTGAATAATACGAAGATAATCATTTATGAGTCAATTTAAAAAGTGAGCACAACGAGGACTACTTTATAGTTTTTTTTTTAACGAGAAAAAAGAAAGAATATATATATATATTTTTTTTTTAAATAAATAAAACTAATTTGTTAAAGGGGATGCTGAAATTACATGTACATTACCGATACTAGCATTTTTGACGTTTTTGTTCCTGTCGTTTATTTCTTTGTAGTGGTTTCACAGAATAAAAATTCCTTTTCCACGATTAAAATGTACATGCTAATATCGTTGGTGTATTTTGTATTCAAAGCTAGAAAAAATAAAAAATTATAGATTTCTTTATCCATTTTTATCTCAGTATGGCGATCAACGCTGAAGGTAAAATGGATAAAGAAATCTGTAATTTTTTCCAGTTTTGAACACAAACTACATCGGCGACAAGTACACAGTACATACATTAGTATGTACATTTTTAATCGTAAAAAAACGTAACAAAAACGTCAAAAACGCTAGTTTTATCAGTGATATAGGTGGCTTTAGCATACTCTTAATTATTAAAAATTGCTGAATATTGATTTTCAATAATTTTTTATTCAAATACTATCAACTTTATAGAAAAACGAGAGATAAAAGTATAAATATAGAGAAGCGAGAGATAAAAATTGTTTATTTTCTTCACATAAAATTCTAAGAATTTTTTCAGAATTTTTTCAGAATTTTTTAATACCCTATTTTCTCATGTTGGTAAAAATAAGACAATACAGTACTAAAAAATTGATAAAAAATTCTGAAAAAATTCTTAGAATTCTATGAGAATAAAATAAATAATTTTTGTCTTTTGTAGTTTTTCTGTAAAATTGATAGTATTTAAGAAAAAAATTATTGAAGACTAATATATTCAGCAATTTTTAGTAATTAATATCTTGTTAACTATTGCGAAAATTGCAAAATGATGATGACTTTTTGACTCAGTTCGCTCTACCTGCCCACGAGCGTTGTCGACAGAATTATCAAACACCCTGTACATGCATGTAATTGTACACATATGTATAGTATATAGGTATATAATTCACATTGAATTATTTGAGCATTAAAGATTCAGCTTCGACCGTTAGACATTTAATTTCTGATATTAATTGTGTTTTTCAGATGTACGATTTAAAATATTCTTATTGTTTAAACTTTTTTGTTATCTTTTTATATGAATTTTGGAAATATTTCTCTCAATGAAGAATAGCGTTAGATATTCTCTCCAGAATTTATACATAATCCCAGTAAAATTCGTGATTTTCAAATGATCGATGGTTAGAAATAATCAACGAGGATCCACTTTTTTATTTGTCAAACAACTTGTGTACTGGAATTCTAATTTTAAGCTGACTTTTTGTATAGTATCTCACAGTTCAAGCAATTGATTTTACAAATGAGTGGGGCACTCTAGCTAATAAGTTTTAATAAGTCAAATATTCGTCGTTATAATTTTTTTTAACGTATGACAAATTATGAAAGCAATTTGAAGATTAAGTCTTATAGAAATCGGAATAAACTTTTCAGATACAGAATTGATGGAATAGAAGGAATAGTAAAAAAAGATTTCTCTGATAAATCAGAATTACCAGAGAGAATCAAGGGAAAGTGGAGCGGATTCAGCCGGAAGACGCTGTTCGTTGGAGTGATATGATAGAGAAGTGTGATGGAACAATACGATGTTACACATACTAGTATTGTACCGCACTAGTATTGTGTGTATGTATACGTACATGCACATTTGCGGAAGTTGAGCTATAAATGGCAGAACCAATCAGAGAACAGAAACGCTATCCGCTCTCTGAGAATTACTAATGCCATCCTTATTAGTGATATTAGAAAAATTATTTTCTTATGTAAAAAAGCATTTGTTAGCCTTTGTCTAATTATGAGATATATGAAATTGATCGGATATTATTTAATAATATATTTTTATAAAATTATTTTGATAAAATTTTGGGTGAGTTAATTTAATTATTTTATCCACCATGTCAAAAAATGATGATCCTTTTTGTAATTAATAAGATAGAATAAAAATTCAAATATCTATCAAAGAAGGATGCTTTATGACATAGATCGAAAATAATTTCTCCTTCCTTTCTAATCAGGCGAACAAAAAAATATTCAAAAATACTATTGTACTTCTCAATTTTCATGAACTGTAAAGAATTTAAAGAGTATTTAGAATGATATCCAATTTATCTTTAGGATCACTAGAATGTTATCAATATTTCTCATATAAAAAGAAAGTTGGAAAGATAACAATTAGAATGTAAAGAATCTCTGAATCTTGCATTACAAGAACCGCAATAATTAACAAAAGCGAACCCATACATCTGCTTATAATAAACACTGTTAAACATGAAGTATGTTGAACATCCAGCTTAGTTCTCTAACCCATATGTTAATTTTGAATGTGTGTGTGTGTGTGTGTGTGTGTATATATTTGTAATTATTATATTAATTAACACAGGTACGTACCATTGCATGATTCACTTATTAAAACTTCATCCTGGAATTAAAAAAAAATATATTAGCGATAAATCATAAGATTGGAAAATTTGTCATTACATTTCTAAGATAATAAACATAGAGATTATGTAATTAATATTGTATACCTTTGCTGCCAAGAGATCTTTAATAGGTTTGAATGGATTAGAGTGTATAGATATTTTCGATGGTGTATTTGACGCGATAGATTGTGCCCGTTGAATGTTTTTATATTGACAGTTTTGCGACTGTTTGACTCTACTGTTCAGAACAGCGTAATTCTTCACTATGATATCCAACAACCATCTGCCAGAAAATGAATTCTGATTATCAATATGAAAGTTTATGCTATTAAACTCTTATTTCGCGCATGAATCTAAATCTTCTTAAGCATAATTAAATATAATTCTAAGCTTACTTATACCCATCCTTTATACCCATAGTATTACTCTTGGATTGCTCTTTGCTATAAATGCACGAACATGTTTCCACTCTTGTTGGACATCTCATAGCATTGGCCGCATGCTCTACATCAAGGTTTTCAACTACATCCAACTCATCGATAGCTCCATTCAGGTCTTGTTTGTTGGCGAGTCTATGCATACATTACGAAAATCTGGATAAAATTTGCATCAATGATACTACGCGATTTATTAACATCCTTGATCATTATATGCACACAAATGGTTTAATTTCCTTTTCGTATGTGCGCAAGCAAAAATTTGTGCAGAGACATAACTTCAGATCCCTTACAACAATATTGGTTTCGTCGAAATATGCTCGTGTGTGATTAATTCATTAAATACGACTTTATTTTCTGCAAGACGGGAAATATCACTGGCGTCCACCACATATATAAGACCATGTATCTAAAAGACAATTAAAACAAAGCTTCTGTTTGTCTTAGTACAGATATATAGCGAATAGATAAAATAATTTAAACACCTACGTAATATACTATTTGTTTTATAAGAGATTGATCTTTAATACAGATTCTATCCTTGTTGAAACAGAATTATACAATGCTTGAATAGTTACCAATGCAATTTAGTGTCAATTTTTCTAACAAAATTTCTTACAATTGCTTAAAAGATATTGAAGGAGAAAATATTAATCGATGATATTTAAATTAGGCACTTGTGACGATAAGTTTGTATTTCTGTAAGTTCTTATTTTATTTATGCAATCGTGTTAATTGGCAGCCAATTTTTGATTGTATTAGCCTAGCAAAATCATATATTGATATTACGGATAAACTAATACTGAGGTCACAACGTTATGTTATATATGTATGTTACATACGCTATATTCGCTACGTTAAGTGGCCACACCGAGTTTTTTATTTTTTAAAAACGTAGCGAACATAACATATGTAGCGTTCGATGTGACCAGCATAATGCAATAAAAAATTAATTGCTGCAACTAAAAATTGACTGCTGCAGCCAATTAAAAAGAGGGGGGGGGGGAGAGAGAGAGAGAAAGAGAGAGAGCGTAAGAGGGAAAGATTGGGAGAATGAGAGTGTAAAAGAGAGAAAATGAGAGCAAGGAGAGAATGAGAAAAGGCGAGAGAAAGTGCAGACAAGACAAAGCAGGAAAAATCTAGAGAGCATGAGAGAGGACAAGAAAGAGAGAAAGGAAAGAAGGCAATTAAATTTTATTTTTTTATTTTTATATTTTATTAACCTAATATTCAATAAATACAAATTATTATTATTATTTCTTCATTTTTAGAAGAATTAAATCCCTAAAAAAATCTTTTTAAAAAAATATACGCGCCAAGTGCATAAAAGAAATATTGAATATTATTATTCTTCTTCAAAAACAAATTATAATATATGTATATTTTACATATGTATATATTTATATAGTAACATAATTTGTGAAACATAACAATATATTCACAAATAATAGACGTGATATAAATTTTTATAGAGAAATAATATATAATATAATATTGATAATATATTTTGATAAAGAAACATTATAAAAAACATAAGAAACATTATAAAAATTTACAAGATTAGTAAATAATAATTAACATCTATTCCTTATTAAATTATTGTTTTTATATATTGCGTATTATGCAGAGATATGTACGTAATAATCTTTTTATTAATTCATATTGCAAATAATTTCTGTACTATGAAAACATATTGATCCTAGAGTATTGCGTTTTAATGCGACCCGGCACGGCAAATTTTTTCTTCATTACAATCCAGTTGGTCATTTTAGTCATTTAGTCTATGCATCTTGAATGATGAAATATTTAGTTAATTGCATTTATTTTGTATCCATTTTTGATTAAGAAGAATGTAATATCCGATACCTTTTTTACGCATATATTGGCATATATTTTTTCTTTTTTAAAAAAAGTATTACATGATTTAGATTCTGAATTGATCTTCAGATATTCGAATACACGCAATAATATTGTAAAAGAGGAACGCAATAATAAAGATAATAATATATATGCATTAGATGAGACCAAATGAATGCTTTATAAGATATATTCCATTTCACGCATAATGCGCATGATATATCATTTAACATTTTATCCTTGTTGTTCATTCAATATTAAAGAAAGATAAAATGATACATCATGCATGAAACGGATCGCATCCATAGAGAAACAAATTATTCGCACGATGATTTTCCGCAAAGATATCGAAATTCTTGTATGAAAAATCACTGTTTCCAAATTGTTGTCAAAAAGTCAACCTTATACATACTTAAAACCAGGGAATAGAAGTAATTCGTTACTTGTAACGAAGTTACAATTACAAGTTACTTTTTTGGTAGCTTTACTGGTAATCTACTTTTTTTTTTTATAACTGCAACTGTAACGTAGTTACATTTTTTTTTGGTAACGATAACACAAGTTACTTATAGCGCTTGAGACTAGGCATCTGTCCGCTGTGATTAGTGATCGTCGATTTTAAAAAAGTAACAGAAAAGTAACGAAAAGTTAGTTTCTCAAATAACGGTAATTGTAACGAGTTATTTTTAAAAAGACTTTCAATTTCCTGCTTAAAATTTATACAAAAATTATTTAAACCCTTATGAGAAGTGAGAAGTGTTGCACAGGATGATCTGGCTAATTGAGTCATCGAATTTGAATTCTCAATGTTGTACAATTTAATAAAAATAACTTCGCAAAAAATAATCATTACAAATTCAACTTTTTCAAACTTTTAACACATCTTTAAAACAGTATTTTTGCGCTGATATCGAGAGTTCTACTGAAATATAAATCTTTAAAACAAACTATAAAAGTCAAATGTATTTTTTAAACAAAAATTATTGATCGAAAACTCAATTCAAAATTTTGAAAAAATTTATACGAATCGAGCACATTATAAAAAACATTTTGTCTCTCTTATGTTTACTTTCTGTAAAGTTTTTAATTTCGGAGTTAAAAGACATTTTAGAAAAAGTGAATTTTTACACAAGATATTTTTGCAAAAAATCGTAGCAACTTTTTCGAAAAGTATTTTATATAAAGCTAGAAAATCTACTTTAAAATATTAAATTTTGTCCAAAGATATTCCATTCAAATAGAATGCTTTAAAAAATGATAAAAATATTGAAAAAATAAAAATTTTCCATTTTACGAAATTAAAAACAAAATATTATAGAAGAAATTCCAATGCTAGATTAAAATTATTCTTCCTCTTAAAAATACATTTAAAAAAAATTCTCTTCTGTTTTTGCATCGAGATACCTACTTAAGTTTTTATGAAATGCAAAAAAATCGGAAACATTCCCGAATCTATGAACATGAATATACACGAGCAAAGATATTTTATTAAAAGAAAGTTTTGAAATAGAAACATCAATCATGTTCATCGACATCAACTTTAATAAAAGATTTTATTAATAATTATTTAAACATTCTTTCTATTTCAACAAGGATAGAATTTATATGAAATGAGTGAGAGTGAGAGAAAGAGAGAGAGAGAGAGAGAGAGAGAGAGAGAGAGAAGCTTTGTATTATTAATAATAATTAAAAAGTGTATTTCTTAGATATTCATGTTATTTGCTCCAATCTCTGTAACAATTTATTATCTAATATTTTTATCGTAAACGTTTATTTATAACTGTTACGTATTGTTATTTATTTGAAAAATCTACATAAATCACTTACATCATTGTAATATTTAGGCCATAATGCTCTAATTTGGGAGCTACCTCCGAGATCATATATTTTTACAGAATATGACTTATGCTTTAAGGATACCATTCGGAATCCCATTGTGGGCAATACATTGTGATCTGGATCTATAGTAAAAGTATTAAAAGTATTAGACCAGCCACATACATTTAAGTAACTTGTCAAGTTGTCAAATACACTTGTTTAAGTTTATTGAAACATGTGTGCTGATTTGCGATAACTGTGTACCTAGTTTTGACACACAGATGCTCTAATAAACTTGTACAAGCAGATTACACTTGACAAATTTATTTGAATGTGTGACCTTATGCAGAAAAAAACCGATGTGATATATCGATAAGCTTTCCAGAGACTTTCGTTTGACATTACAATATTTTTAATTTTTTAAAAATTTACCGCCACTAATATGATTTAGTATCGTAGACTTTCCAGAATTATCCAATCCCATAATAAGCAGAACAATGGTCCTGAAGTCATAAAGAGAAATGTAAATAAAAAGACATTCCTTTCCTTTCTACAATACGTACTTTTCCGAGGCGCGATTTCTTCGCAGCCTCCTCAGCACGCTTCTGAAGCAGTTGTTCATCGTGGGAAAAGAGATTTGTGATCCCATGCTTCTCACAATTCACCTTAATCGCGCCATCATTCATCGCGCATAATCCTGCATAATCGTTGTGCGTTCCATGAATCTTTTTACACCATTAAATCGGTTAATACACGTATCAAAATTGGTGCAAACTAAATATTTCATAGATCTTTATTTACACCGATCTGTGACAGGACGGAGGTTAGGTTAGGTCACATGCAGGGTTTCCAACCTTTTGAGATTTTCCTACACGAACACTGGGTCACAGTATATACAGCGCAACTCTCTGTTGACACCTTTAATGTTAGTATTGCCAAAATGGAGTGCGTGAAATAAGTAAATTCCCTAGCCATTTAAATTTCTTTCTCAGTTACTCTTTATTTTTCCGCTCTTTCTCTCTCTCTCTCTCTATACGTACATCAAATTTAATCTAAATGTAATAAAACTGAAAGAATTAGATATTGGGTCATCTAAAAAGTATCCGCGGTTTTTTGTCATTAGATGTGTGTTGATGGTCATATATTGGGGCATCTAAAAAATATCCGCGGTTTTTTGTCACTAGATGTGTGTTGATGGTCATATATCTAGTGACAAAGTACCGCGGATACTTTTTAGATGACCCAATATATCAATGTACAATATAATTTCAGTTTTCATTGAAGGTTTAATCCGGATCAGAATGTAAGAACCAACCAATTACAATCGAGCATTCCCCTGTCGTTTGACTGTAGTTGGTTGATTTTTATATTTCGCTTCTGGTTGCATAACAAAAAAATGCCATTATTCTATAGATATTTATGTCTAATACTAGATGATTAACTCGCCTATATACATAAAATTCCAATATATATTACATATATATTACATAATGTGGTATATAGGAATAAAACGGTCAGTAGTCGCATAATGTGTAATAGCCGCAATAGGGCCACATCAATCACATGTCATGTTTGCATGATATTCATGCTTTTACATTAAGTCACAATGCCAATATCTTGCCATGTGAAAAATTATCACAGTTTAAGTGGAAAAAATCCGGAGATTCGCGTTGCTTGCACTTTTTGCACTCGGCATTTTCGCTTTCTCTCTTTTCAAAGCCAAATGTATATCTATTTCATTTTAAGTGCAAAAATATTTGAGGATCTCATGCAACGCGAACAGACCTAACATAGGTAAATTGTAATCGATCCTAAATATTGTTTGGAGCTCAGGATTGCTCTGAATGAACCCAGCATCTGTCATACGACGTCCGACATTCGTCGTAACAATGAATGTCATATGATGAACGTCGTACGTAGTGTGAATTCTATATTTCAAGTACGCCGAGTTCATTCGGAGCGACTCCCGAGAGACAAAACGAATAATACTATTATTACAATGAATGTCGGGCGTCGGATGTCGTACATAATGTATATCTTACATATTGTATATGTATGCACTACTCTTGCGCATAAAGCTGATAGGCTCGGTTCATCAGCCAATCACGTTCAACAGAGATGCTCAGCCAGTCCGTGCGTCATCCATTGACTAGTAATCTCAAATACAATGTATCAGGACTGTAAGCCGCTCATACATGCATCTGTATACATTATATGAATATAGTCTTTAAGTATTAGGTGAATATAAATTGTAACTTGAATAAACAATATCATCAACAGCTTATTTAATATACATACGTCAAAATATTAATTCAAAGGAAATTATTTTAAACGAGAAGTTAGTTCATTTGTTTTATTCACAGCAGCCTCGACAGCATTCATCATAGATCCCCTGTATTCAATTATTAAGATAAATTTCATAATTATTTAGAAATTAAATCATTACATGATCGTAACAATCATATCAATTATGGTTCTTTCATTAATTGTTGAGAACAATTTTTTAACAGTAGAGGATTTTTTTATTTAAAACTTGCTCTACTTGCCTGCGATTAAAACTGATATGATTTTTACCAGACATTCTATGATTCTATATGTATGTATGTATACATGTGTAGCATGCGCATGGTACGCACGCACCATGCACGCATTTATACTTTATTTAACAATGAGATATATAAAATATCTTTTGAAATACCTGACTCCTCCTTTTTCCATTGCATGAACGCCAGTAATAGTGGTACCTCCAGATGAACAGACCTCATCCTTCAACTGGCCAGGATGTCGTCCAGTTTCGAGAACCATTTTTCCAGCTCCTACTAGCACTTGCGCTGCGAATTTAGTTGCCATTGGTCTTGGCACCCCCATTTTTACAGCCCCGTCTGCTAATGCTTCTATGATGAGATATGCCTAAGTAAAAATGTATTGAAATTATAATATGCAACTATTTCTATTTCTTTAATTATAATAATCACTACAACAACTTACAAATGCTGGGCCACTACCTGACAAACCACCAATGCTATTTATAAGACTTTCTGGAACAATTTGGCTCATGCCGATATAAGAAAATAACATATCTACCAGTTCCAGATCTTTCATTTCAGCATTATTGCTGCAATAAACTAAAAATTATCTTATATTATCACATTAGCTAATTTATGCCACTACTGTAATTTTTTAATGTACCTGTAATTCCTTCTCCAATCATCATAGGCGTATTTGGTATGGATCTAATTATTCTTGGTGAAATCACAATTGTAGAGAGTTTCTAAAAATATTTCGTATAAGTTATCATAAAAATTGAAACATATATTACATAATATCCACTTTACTTACAATATGCAAGACATCAAGAGATATTCCAGCGAGTACTGAAATAAAGAGCTTGGTCTCAAATTTTTCACCCGATTTTTTCTCTACAATAGTCTCAAGCGCATCATCCAGCATATGTGGTTTTACTGTTAGAAATACAACGTCACAGTTGTTCACAACTTCATTGTTTTTCAATGTTGCACGAGCCCCTAAATCCTTCCAAAATCCATGTGTTCTGTCCGTACGACTAGAAACCCAGACATTATCTGGATTTAATATACCTGTTGTAGATAAATATTTAGAAAGAAAAATATTTAGTGTTTCTTCTATATAATTATCTTACTCTCATATTCATTTCTATCAATGTCTATTAATTTTAATCTCAATTTAATTTGCTCGTAATTTTTTTTAATCCTTAGAGGATAAGAAATTAATTAAATCAAAATTAGAGTTAATTTATATTAATAGGAATGGATATTATTAGTGCTGGATATTAGAGTGATGAGCAAGTATGTTTACCTCTGCGAATTAAGCCAGCGCCTATAGCACTAGCCATATTTCCGCCTCCGATAAATCCGACTTTGATGGATTTTAGATGCTGTTCCATTATAGTTGTTCACGATTACGATTTGTGTATTAAATAATTATACACCGAAGCAGTAAATAATTGCCACGTGTTTCTTACGTATGTATGTCAGTAGACCTATTTTGTAACTTTTAAAAAAGGTATAATTTCACGTGCTGCTAAAATAAGCAATTGGAACGAGAGGATAGATCTGTCCCAGACTTAGTCACTGTTATTCCAACGGTTGAAATTTTGTAGTTTGAACAGTTTCAACTGTAAGTATCAAATACTCAACGATATTGACAGTGCTGCCGCATCATGTCGACCTGTGAATTGCACATGTTCTTCTTATATTATGATCAGCCAATCGAGCGATCTGCTAATCAGGATGTGGCGCGATATTTAGATTAATTAATGATAATTCTGTAATTAATTAAACATTTTAAAAAATCGATTTGATCTTGACCTGACTTTGATGATGAACCCAAGGTCAAACAAATGTGATTAATGAATAGATTTTTTAAATCCTACAATTTTTGTCTCAAACATTTTCCGTATCTTTTATAATTTTAAAGATTTTTTGGTGTCAAAGTTAAAATGGGATACTGTATATAATTTATTTAAAGTATATAAATATTAACACACGTGTAAAAATAATCCAATACATCCTTAAAAAAAATAATTTACGAATAACCTTATTTAATTTTGTGAGAACTATCAGGGTGCGGCAGAGAAACTTACTTTTTTGAAAAACGCGTCAAACGGTAAGGGGTGAAGGTAGGGAGCTGGGAGGGGGTGCGTCCAAGAGGATAGGTCCTCAATTTTTGTTCCCCCCCACAGCTAATCTCGATCATGCTTTGGACGAGAGAGCATCGCGCGTTCGCCGTCGAGGCATACCCCCCCGCCGTTCTGCTCGCAAACATGCGGCTGCTCTGAGGCTTTCGGACCGAACTGTGAGACGAATCCTTCACAACGAACTCCAATTTCATCCGTACAAACTGACTGTTGTGCAGGAGTTGACTGACCGCGATTTCGTGGCCCGCCAAACTGCATGTGAAGTTCTCCTTGAAAGCCTTCCCCACGACGCGGTAACGTTCTTCAGCGACGAGGCTCACTTTCACCTTTCCGGCTATGTCAACAAACAGAACATGCGCTACCGGAGTGCTGAAAATCCACATGAACTTCACCAAACCCCTCTCCATTGTGAACGTGTTACCGTTTGGTGCGCAATTTCGTCGGTCGGGATCATTGGTCCTTATTTTTTTGAGGAAAACGAGCGCGCTGTCACGGTGAATGCAACTCGATACAGGGAGATGATCGAAGAATTTTTCCTTCCACATCTGGAAGAAATGGACGTCGGGGATGTGTGGTTTCAACAAGACGAAGCTACGGCCCACACAGCACGGGCCTCGATGGAATTGTTGAGGGAACACTTCCCTGACCGCCTCATCTCTCTCAGAGGTGATCTCCCTTGGCCGGCGCGCTCTCCAGATTTAGCTCCATGCGACTTCTTCCTATGGGGTTATTTGAAGTCTATCGTTTACAACGATCGACCACAGACCCTAGACTCACCTGAAGACAAACATTCGGAACGCCATCGCCGAAATACCGGTGGACATGCTTCAGAAAGTGACGCGAAACTTCAGAAATCGACTCAATCAGTGCATAGACAACGGCGGTCATCATTTGATAGATGTAATTTTCAAAAGTGCATGAAAAAAAATTTGATGAGGTGATCTGTAAGGAGAAAAAAGAATTATACTGATATCTGCAAGTTTCGTTTTTATTAACCTTTAAAAAAAGTAAATTTCTCTGCCGCACCCTGTATAATATTTTGTGTCATAAATTTTGGGATACCTACATAATTTATTTATTGTATACTTATTGTAATTAATATTAATAAAATTCACAAAGACAAAATTTACATTTATTAACATATACATACGCACGCATACAAAAAATATTCTGTTCTATCCAAAAAAAATATTATGAACTAGTAATAAAATTTTGTAAAAGATGTCTGTAATATTTGATATTTCTAATACGATGTCCATATATACTACAAGTAAGCTTAAATTGTAGCGTTCTACTTTATTTTAAAAACATACACTTTGTCATAAAAATCTAATCTTTTGAATACTCTACACATCGTGAAGGATCTGTAGGATAGTATTCCTGGCATTTAGTCATCAATCTTTTGAGTGCTTGAATGTACTTCCTCTGAGTTTCATCATTCATGACATGAGCAACATTTTTAGAAAAGATTTTTTCTCTACCAGTACGAGCATGAATACCAACCATAGTTACACCAATAGGCCATGGAGAGTTGCCTATTGCCATTTGCAAATAGGCATCGCTAGCCTGAAAATTTGATTTGTCATAGACAAATATTTGTCATTACCATATTTATTATTGACAGGATATTTATTTTATATAAAATGTATATATATATATATATATTATATATGTACCAATATATAGTTTCGCTGTAGCAAATGTTTAACAATTTCTGTTAAACTGTCAGTAATATCCTCCGGAAGAGATCTGTTGTTCAATTTTCTTAGAAGTGGTTTTAAATATTCTCTTGTTTGAGCATAAGTAGCACTATTCATCTTTCCTTTTGTGCTTATTTTTTCAGTAGCTGACCGGCTGTTTAATTGATTACCCCATATTTGAACTAGATATTGTACAAACAGAGTGATAACATTCATATCAAAGTCCTTGTCTCCTTTATTCAATTTAGTTGACATCTTTTCTATGTCTTCATAAGTAACACTTTCGTCAGGCACATTTACATCTCCTTTACCATCAAGATTTTGGGACTTGGAAGATGTTAAAATCTCATTGAGATATGCTTGATCCACTTGTTCCATAGCTTCTTGAAAATCGTTTCTGAAGCCCTGTTGATAAATTATTACAATCAAAATTTTCATGTTAAGCTATTTTTTTAATCGACAGAAGTAATGTATATAATAGTATAACAGATATTTTACCTTATTCACTTCTGGCTCAAGGATTTCACATTTTCTTAATCTTTTGAACGCTTCTACCTCAGATTCACTGAACAATAATATGGGTTCTCCCCGTTCGCGTAATCGCCTAATTACTTCTTGCCTGGACAATAAATGTTCGGAACTACTGTCTGTTACTTGTTCTTCTGACTGCTGACTGACATTTAACAAAATAGCTTCATTGTTTCCCTTATCAGTTTCATATACTTCCTGTTGCTTCGATATCAACTGGCTCCTCTTGAAGTACTTCTTATTATTTTCCTAAAAGAGACATTGATACAAATACGTATTATAATGTACAATCACGAAACACTATGAAATCACAAACTACATATCACACATGCAACGTACTAAGACGTGACTTTCTTCTAACTCTTTACGTTTCTTCATTATTTCTGCTTTTAGAATATCCATTTTGCTAATAAATATTATACTCGAATCAATGAAAGTCCACCGATATAAATAGAGAACAAGTTTCATATGCTTTCATATCAGTAAATTAAATTCATTTTCCTAAGTTCATCTTCATAAGAAAAAACTTATATTTTCTTCAGTAAATATTGAGAGCCCTCCACTTCAAATTTTGATAAAAATGCACTGAATTGATGCGTTTTCGCGTAAAAATAAAGATTTGACAAGAAAACAGTGACACTCTGCTCCATAAACCGAAATATTTTAGTCAAAATATTTATTTATTCAGGTTAGGAAATCTATCAATCACAAAATATACAAAATACTGTAAAGCAAGCATGCACTGCGGAAGGGATAACATGGTGTGTTTTCCAACAAGCGACACAAATGACACACAATGGATTATTAGGAGCTCCGCACAATAAAAGAAACAAGGAACAGAGAACAGAGAATAAGAATTTCAATCTATCAGAAACTGTGTATTCCATAATACATGATTTCTGATAGGTTGAAATTCTTAAACGGGGAGCACAGCTCTTGCAAAACGTATAACCATCATGAGAAAATGAACCAATCGAAGTCCTTTATTTCCTTCCTTTCCATGTAATAAAGAACTCTGATTGGTTGATTTTCTTATGAAAGAGAGAGAGGGAGAGAGAGAGAGATGGAGACACGTTTGACATTTTGCTTCTTGGTTATGTCTCGTTAGTCATTTAGTAATTGATTTAAAAAAGATGATATCTTCTTTTTTATTCTTTATAAATATGCGTTTGAAATTATAATGCCGCGGAAAATACGCGTCATGTTTACAATTGCGATAGCACTGAGTGTATGTCTCGTGATATTTCAGGTATATGTAATAAAATTGATATCAACCAAACTGATGCTCGCATTTCCGGGGCTAATTCATTTTCATAATTTTTAGTTATGTTTAATACTCCGCGATCGCAAAAGATTGTCTTTCTCAGGTAATTTGTTAATATGCCATATCGATGCTTCTCCACAAAAATTGACGTGTCTCGATTTTCTGTACCTAGAGGACGACGTACCTGTCATACTATGGTGGACGCCATTCGGTAATAAATGCCAGATGTTACCTCACACATAATAGAACATTTGAGAATGATGTGAACTTAAAAGTATGATCCCTTTACATTTCTACCCTTTACACTTTTTTCAATCAATTTCCATATCTTGCACATATTACTGACTTTTATAGAGTGTTCTGTTTTACGGAAGTAATCTCCGTATTCATGATTTGCCCAATTGGAGGAGCAGTGCCATATCATGGGGCTTACTTCATGAAGAATCCCCTAGGAATAATCCTATACTTGTCCATGAAGAAGCACTTAATCTTTTTAATTACTCTTCGACCTTTAGCAGATTAAGTAATGTACCACTCACACTTCTTGATTTACCTGGTCTAGAAGAATTAGTAGGTAATTATAGACAAAAACATACAAGATATATCTCAGACTTATTATAACATTCGTTAATTTTAGATTTTTAAGCTCATTTTAAAAAGTTGTAAATTTTAATACCAAAACATCGAGATGACTCTACATTGGTTTTTAAATAAGAAGGGTTTTTTAAAATTAGTTAGTTGGAACTGTCTGAAATTCATGCAAAATTCGTATGTTCAGTAATGATATATTGTACAATAGTGAAGGTGTTTAGAAGAATAAAAGAGAATAGAATTGATGCTTGAAAATATCACTATTATATAATATATCATCCCTGAATGTACAAATTTTGGGTAGAACAATTGGTTAATATAAAACCCTTCTCATTTAAAAACTACTGTGCTTTGATATTTTGATTAGAATTTTCCAAAATTATCTCAAGATTTATTATTAATAGTTATCACAATAAGTCTTGGGACACCTGGTCTAACTAACAAAAGTTTTACATTCTCCAATTCTAATTTTCTATTAGTTAAGTAACAATACATATGATCGAACATTTTAAGCGACTCCTAGATGACAATATTATTAAACAATATTTAATATTGTATAATATTGTATTAATCGTCTGGAGGCAATATTAAGGATTTTTTGCAGTATATTCAGAGTTGCTATAGAAAATGATTTAAAAATTCCCTGACTTTTTCAACTGAAAATGAAAAATTTTCTATGACTAACACAAAATATGTAAATTTTAACATTTAGACTCAAGGATTGTAAGAAAGCTAGTCTATATTATTAAAAACAACACAAAAAAATTAGTAACATATTAGGTGTTGGAATTAATTCGTAGCGTTTTTTAATGAAAGAATGTTATTTATTTCACATGAGCATTAAAAAATACATTAATGAAAGTACTTCCCATCACTTGTAAAACGCTACGAATTAATTCCAACACCTAATAGTAAAATTGTAGGTGCAAATTCAAGCCAGCAAAAAATTAATTAGTTTTGAAAAAAAGAATACAGTTATGACGAAAAAAGAGATCAAATAAAAATACTGAATAAAATATAATTTTAATTATTTTATTAAAATCGTTCAAAGTGCACAAATTTTGAACATATTTGACTATAAATGTCAGATATAATATTTAAAAAATTATAATAATTATTTGGAATAGGAGCAGTTTAAGAAAATTGTAAACAAATTTCGAAATTCCAGACTTTTTTACATTTTTTCCTGACTTTTCCCGGTTTTCCAGGTCTGTTGCAACCCTGATATTGTGTCAATAAAAAATTCTTTGAAATATATTGTGCAACTTGTAAGATATTGATCAATCTGAAAGTATTATTACTTAAAAGATACCAATTTATGATGATTATTTATTTCTAGTATTATAAATGAACTATGTTTCTTATATCAAAATTAACACTTAGTAATGACATTTGAATAATTTTTTACCATTTTTTTTTCGAAAAACTAATCATAATGCATCCTTTGTTCGCTCATCATACGTAGAATGATGGCCGTTCCAGTTAAGGAAGTGCTGTCCAGTTTGGAAATGTCTTCAGAATTTGTCTTCAATAAATCTTGTTTTTTTAATCCTATTATGCTTGCTCTATGATCAGATGTCGATAGATTCTCAAATATTTTGTTTAATTCATTCGATATGATTCATGTCATAGATAATGACAATTAAAAAAGATTAAAGTGAGATGTTAAATTAATAACATAAATTAAAAGAATTAACAAATTGCACGATTTGAAAGTTATATTGAGAATTATATTGAATTGTCTACAGGGATATTGATAATATTGAAAAATATAATTGAACAATAATATTGACCGTTTACATACCACTTTATGGATAAGCCTCATGTGTGCATAAAAAGATATAAAAGATATAATGTGCATAAAAATAAAATATTTGCAGCAAATTCATATTACATGTCTACCAAAGAGAAATCTGCATTGATGCATGCAGAAAATTTAGCACCAGTATTATACATTCAATCTGACTGTGATACTGCTAGTGACAGGGATAGTTATGTCTCAGAATTAATGAAACATATTCGGATAGATTCCTATGGTGCATGTGTGAATAATGCTCAGCTTGACAATAGGTACATTTTTATTTAAACAATCTCTGTGAAGTTGATACCGCCACCATTGAAAATTGGAATAAGATACATACAAAAATTATGTGCTATTTAAGTGCTCTTTAGGAACAATGAACAGAATTGATATTTGTTAAATTTTAAAAGATACGAACTAAAAAAACAATTACATATAATACATGAACAAGAATAAAGTATCTTCTAAAATTGAACAGAAAATCGGTTTCAGTGTTAAATGTTTTCTCGATGTAGGTGCTCGCGAGATATACAATATTCGATTTTGGTGCTTATCGATTTTGGTTGCAATTTTTTTTATGACAGTAACTAACTAAAACATAAAATTGAAAAAGTAACTTGTCACTTTTGAAAAATAACTTTCTCAATTTTATGTTTTAATTAGTTATCGTTACTGTCATAAAAAAAATTGTAAAAATTGCCAAATTACGTTATTAAAGAAAATAACAGTAAAAGTAACGGTTTCTATCCATATTCTAATATAGCTGGCTTTAACACTCGGCAAGTTAAAGATGCCTCTTCGACTTGATTTTAGAAGTACTTTATTTTTGTTCATACAGAATTAGAGATGCCTTTTCAACGACGAGGGATAAGCATCAAAATTGAATATTGTATATCTTGTGAATGTCTAAATCGAGAGTATTTGATACTGAAGTCGATTCTCTATCTGAATTTTAGAAGATGTTTTACTCTTATTTATATGTTATATATAATTTTTTGGTAAACTGATATTAATTCTGTATATTATTCCTAAAAAGCACTTAAAAAGCACTTAATTTTGTGTATTGATTTTTAAATTTTTGTTCGTATATATATATTGAATTGATGGTTCTAACTTGACATGAATCTAGCTCCACCACTTTTAAACGCGGATTCCTGCTAAATGCTAAAATCAGGAATAGAGCACTAAATTAGCACCTAATTAGCGCTTTTGGCATGTATCTTATTCCAATTTTCAATGGTGGGAATGCTTCACTAAAATCTTAAAATAATAATTTTAGATTGTTAAAATTAATAATTATTAGCAGATAAAATATGCCTATTCAGGTTGAAGAACAACTATCTCGATATTTTAAGCGATCGTGAGTTCTTATTCTTTGTGGCCAAATACAAGTTTACTATAGCTTTTGAGAATGCAATTTGTGACGATTATATCACAGAAAAACTATGGAGGCCGCTTGTTGTCGGCTCTGTACCAATATATTACGGATCACCATCTTTTAAGGTATGTTTTTTAATTGTGACTTGAATCTTTCAAAATTAAACCTACTTTATCTAAATTTTTTATTTTGTAGGATTGGCTACCAAATAATAAATCTGCTATCTCAATATTAGACTTTACTAGTCCAATAGAACTCGCCCATTTTTTGCATAATCTTTTAAAAAATGATTCTGCATATGAAGAGTACTTGTCTCATAAATTAAGTTTGAAACGCGAAAATCGCGTTACAAATAGCAAGTTGTTACATGCGCTCGAAAAGAGACAAACAGGAATTCCAAACGATTTTGGAAATTATATGGAAGAATTCGAATGCTTTGTTTGTGAACGAATACAAAAGAATAGTTACGAATTAAAAAAGAGCATAGTAACAAAAAGACAGTACAATTGTTCTTTGCCAAGAGATCCAATAACAGGCGAAATTAATAAGCGCAATTGGTGGACTGAGCAGTGGAATATTGAGAAATGTGGAGCTAAGCTATTATCCCATTACATAACTAACAATATCAGTATTAATATAAAACATTTTAATGAACAGAAGATGACTATGTACGACAATAATGAATGTTGAAACATATGAAAAAAAAAATTGAAAGAATTTTTTTAGTAGTATAAAAGGTCTCCTGTTTATTCATTTACTCTCTGAACCGATGCACACGCTACAATAGATTGAATTGAAACAAATAATATACATTTGTTTCACTTCAACTTGTATCGTATTGCACTAGTTCAAAGACTGCAGGAATAAGATAAGAGGCCAGAGTGAATAAGTTTAGATTTACTTCGGACTAAATGATGAATTATATCTAAAAATATTTTGCTTAAAAACGAGGCCAACTTGAACTGTGCATTATATTATTGGCCACATATATCGCACGTGGGAGAATCAGAACACCTATCATAGAAAAAGTCAGAATGGATTCCGATTGGAATTATTCTGTTTTCTCCAGAAAACACAATCCATTCTGACTTGTTCTGTGATAGGTGCCTTGGGCCATCCAAAGAAGAGAATAATATTTATAAGTCTGAATGAATGTACAAGCATTTTTATTTTGGTATCATAGAAATAATTTTTACATATTCATTTTGTATAAAATAACGCAATAGAAATTACTAAATGCATTTTACAAAATGTATAAGTCTGCATGATGGAAAAAGATTTTCATGCGTATATAGTGAATCTTATGCGCTTTCTACAATAAGTCATTATCTTTAAGTCTTAAGTCATAAGAAATTGACCAATCATAGTCGATTATTCTTCTTACATTCGAGTGTAATTGGTCAATTTCTTATGACTTAAAAAGATGACTTAGATTATGACTTATTGTAGAAAGCCCATTAGGATCATCACACATAAAATGTAGCTTATGTCATTTCGTGTATGATGACTCTTAATGAATATCTCAACATTTTACCATAAGAGATAAATATTTCACTCTCTCTTATATGTGAATTTCACTCTCTCCGTAACTGTACTACAATTGGTAATTATCTCCCATGGTAAAACGTTGAGACATTCATTAAACTTCATTCTGTATATACAATATTTTTAATGACAGTGTTAGAGTTTAGATAGTATTAAAGCCTTATTTGACTGTGAGATTTGCAATCTTTATCTTAATTGTTCATTGCAGTGACCAAATTTTGTCTCACTTTACACCATTTAAGCGTAAAAATATAATATAATTTTAAATACAATAAAAAGTTACAATTTTCATACTTTTAGCCTTTCTCAATTTGTTGATTTTATTTGCAAAACTGGAGCAGGTACCTTCATTAGCTCACACAAATTATTTCTGATTGGACGTAAATCTGCGATTGGTTGTTCCCAATCTGTCGCGTTCAATTTTATGAGTATATTTGCTAAATCTTCTTCTGCTATATCCATCTCCTCTCCGTAAAGAGTCAATGTTTCATAAGTACGTATAGCTGTTGTCTTCCTTAAGCTCGTATATTTGTGACACAAAAATATACTTAATTGACAAAATGCTCTCTTTGCAACAGGTCCTCGTACCTAAAAATTTGAAATATTTAATAATGAAATTCGATTAATATAATATTCGATGAGACAATTTTAAATATTTAAATTATTATGAATTTTGATGTGCGTGTTGTATGTGTGTGTAGTTATGTATTAGAAATACTATCATATAATATATAATATCCCAAAATTGATATTTAGGACTATTTTAGAGCGGGCTAAACTGAGTCGAAAAGTCCTCTATAACTTTTCAATTTTTGCAATAGTTAACAAGTTATTAATTATTAAAAATCGCCATATTAGCTCGATCTACCGCCGCGCGCTTACATTCGAGCTAATATAGCGATTTTTAATAATTAATAGCTCGTTAATTATTGTGAAAATTAAAAAGTTATACAGGACTTTTTGATTCAGTTTAATCTGTTCTATCTACATATGAAAATATTTTGGAACATCCTGTACACACATGCACGCATGCACACATCAATTAATTACTATTATATAATTATTAATTGATAATACTGGGGAACACGGATTTTTTTTGTCGGGTAGGCAACTGTTTCTGATAGATTTTTTTTTCGTAGAATTCAAATCTAGAAATGAAAATAATTAATTGGCTCTAACTTTTAAAACAGGATCAAAGGTATGTATTTTTGGTCATGTGTTTCAACATGTGTAGGAAAACAATGAGAGCCTCTACAACCAGAATCTTCTAGTCTTTGCGATATTATATTCATTTATGAATATTATTTCTAACAAGCACAAGTTAATTGGAGCACTCGATTTTTTATATGATTTTTATATACGATTTATATTATTTTTTTCTATTTTATTACGATTTCTTAAACTTTGTCGCATTTAGTAAATGTTAATATTATTTCTCAATAAAATGCTTCAGGGTATTATAAAATCGCATAAATCTTTATCAAAAAAATATTCCAAATTAATGGCATCCAATATTTCAATCTATAGCCTAAAAGGGCAAGAATTAAGCGTATATTTTATCCCAACTAGAAAGTTCTAGAAGCTGCTAATGTTTTTCTACAAATGTTGAAAAATAACTAAAAGCACATTTTTTGCACTTTCGAACTCGTTTGTTTAAAAAATCAATTTAGTATTTTCAAGGCTCTATTAGTGTTTAGTGCTCTCAAATTAGTAAAAAATATGTTTTAAAAATAATTATAATGCCCTTAAAAATAATATGAAAACGATAAAATTTTTGTTTCCCAGTATTATTTTTCTCATCAATTTTTACCTGTAATAATTCGCAGAAAACATTTATACTACTAATGAGTAGTTTCATATTGTTAGAATATTTTATTTCCTGTTTTAATAATGTCAGTATACGCTCTGAAATTGTATTGCTTTCATCATCTAAGACAGACTGAATGCAACCGGAACTCAACAAACGATCCAAGAAAGCCAACATCGATGTTATCATTCTTTCATTTTTATGACTCTCTTCGAATATATCTAATATTTTTTCACATAAATCCCTTAAACCCATCTCATCGATCTCTTGTAGATAAGTAAATAAAGAAACACTCGAATATTTTACCTGATAAGAGATAAAAAATAAGAAAGGTATTTAGTTGTAAATAGAAAATTTGTTATACAATTAATAAAATTATAAATCTTATCTTTTAAAAAATCGATCAACGATCTTGCCTTTATCAAGTAATTAGCTTATGCACATAAATGCTTGAAAGATATTTTATATAGGATTAGAGAGATCTCTATTATAATTTTTAATAAATATTTGATTTACCAATGACTCGCTCAAGCCTCCGACGCTAAATATAATTCCGCGTAACAAGTTCATTTTATATGGTGGAAAATTCAACATTTTAATAAATCGTGGAAACGTTGCAGATTCCATTCGCCATTCGATAGTTTCCTTACATTCGTTATAAGGAAATATAGTTTTCAACTCGTCATGATATGGTATATTTGTAAGTGGCGGATCACTATAAAAAAAATGGCATCAATTAATCATAATTATCAAAAAATCTTGTCAATTAAACTTCTTCATGTTTTATTTTTTACGTTTTTATGAATAAAAAAATGATGGAAAATTTCAGTAAAGATATACATGTTTTTACCTGTGTATAAGAGCACTGAATACAGTACCAGCCTGAGCTCGAATTCCATCTATCCTCTCAACAGCTTGTTGTGCGATACCACCAATAATACCAGTCATTAAGTCCTCATTCAATACAGAGAATAGTTTTGCTTGCGATACTAGATTCGTCATTATCTGAATAATGTAGAAATTTTAATTGCAATCAGTTTTGTGATAATGCATATTGATAATAAAACAATTTTCTGCAATGGAATACGTACGTGTAGTCCAATCATAGCTGCTTCTCTCACCCAAGCGCCTATATCACCACGACTATCTATCGTATATTCTTTAAGAGCTAATAAATAACAATCGTATATATCTGGTACAAATGGTTGCCATTTGTCTGAAAAAAAATTTATTTATTCACAATAAAGATCTTAAATAAATCTGTTAATAAATATATGATAAAATGAATAAAGACTCACTAGCTTCATCAATTCCTAATGTTTGCAGTATCATTGTTAAAGAGTGCAAAGCTTCTTTTCTACTCTCCGCCCATTTCAATGTGTTCTTAGATATATGAGTGCATGAGATTAACGAATTTATGATATCCTTCACTCTTTCATGAATTACGAATAATGGGAAATGTCCTATAAAAAATATAATTAATGAAATAGATGGAAATATCTTGGCACTCATAAATTGAATGCACACTCGAACTTACCTATTGCTTGTGCAAATCCTATTCTAATGGACTGATTACTCGATTGTAAGGACTCCAAATAACGATTAACTATAGCACTTCGGGCATCGTAATCAATATTCACATAATATTCTAGAAAAAAGTTTGTATGTGCTTCAGCTGCTTTTAACTTAACTGTCGATACTTCGTGGCTCAAGCATTCTTCTAGTAATTTCTGCCAGTCATCTGTATTATTGATAGATATTATAAATATACACAAGTAATAGAACAAAAGTAATTGTTTAAGAAGTAAAATTTATTTTAATTATTAATACGTACCTACAATATCTGTAAAATGAACAGGAAAATGAACAATAGAACATTTCTTTATTAGTGTGGAACAAGCTTGTTTCATTAGCTCTCCTCCAAGACCTTTAAATTGTCCTCTATTTCTGATAGTGCGCACTATATCTTGTATATCAGCTACTGCTGTGGCTCCTGAATAAAAAGATCAATCTTGTTGTAATCTTTAATAGATATTTACAAAAAAATAAAAACTGATCTCTGTATATGGTTTCACATATTCTTACCGATAATACATCCAATTTTATCATTAAAGTAATTGTATAACGCTTCGAGAATTTCTGCAGTGGCTAGTACTGCACCGTGTCTAACATTTAAGTCGATAGAATTTAGCATATCTAACAAAGTCGGCAGTACTGTATTTATCATGTAATGTGCATCAGTTACTGTTAGATTAAAAAGCGACTGCAACAAATTGCTAATGACAGAACTGAAAATTGGTAAATTTTGACATCGTAAACGTTTAACCCAGCGTCATTGAGGTGCTAAAATGTTAAATGTTACATAGATAATTTTAAAAAGCTAATAACTTTTACATTTTTTTAGAAATGGTAGTCTTTTAATGTAGATAATCTGATAAAGTAAACTACTAAGAATATATAAAACACTTTTATTTATATATTGTAAAACAAGTATAATATTATTATATAACAAGAAATAGATGTTTAAAACTTTTCGAGTCATTATGACCCAGCCTCTATGACGTCGGGTTAATTAATATTACTATTGAAATTCGAACTTACTCTAGCTGAAAGCTCCCTGATTGCAGTATCCCAATGCGTAACCTTTTTTGCTACTAAATGATCTATTAAGGGCTTCGTATATTCTTCATATTGTGCAATTTGTATGCTAACGGATAGTATTATAAAAATCAACCAAGTAATAAGAAATGTCGAAATATTTATCGAATTCTTTACCTGATTTTGAGATATGTATGACTCCTTACGCCAACTTCAAAATAGTCAGCAAC